TTTTTAATTAAAAAAAGTTATAGAAAAGAAATGCAAATTAAACAACAAGCTCCTGTGGGGAGTGGGATCAGTTAAATACATCTTTAAAACACTTTGTTTTTTATTACTAGTGGAGTGTAAGTCTTGTGTTTCCCTACAATGTTGCTGAGGAAAATGGAACATGTCTCTGGAGACAGGTGAGAAAGTGTTAGTGTTAGGAGAAAGGTCAAAACCAAAGGGAATTACTAGGCTCACCATTGTTATTCAATATTGTACTGGAAGTCTTAGCCAAAGCTATAAGGCAAAAAGAGAAATTAAAGTCATCCTACTTGGCAAAAAGAAGCAAAACTCTCTCTTTTAGCAGAGGATATAAACCTAAACACAGAAAATCCCAGCGATTCAGCAAGAAAATTATTGGAACTCATTGAAAGGTTCAGCAAAGTCACAGGGTACAAGAGCAATACTTTAGAAATTATTGGATTCCTCTATGCTAATAAAGACAGCCCTGAATCAGAAATTAGTCAAAAATATCTTGTAAAATAGTCACCCAGTAGGTAAAATACTTAGGAATAATCTAACTAGAGAAAAAAAGATCTATACAAAGCAAAAACTTCTAAACATTACTACAAGAAACAAAAAGAGACAAAAATGGAAATATATACCAGATTCATGGATAGGGTGGCATTGTGAAATTTATCAACAATTCCTTTAAAAAATCTACACATATAATTCAATCCAGATTCCCACATCATTCTCTAAAGAGATGGAAAGGAAAGACATCTTGGATAAGTATAACATTACTTGAGAAAAAGAACAAAGCTGGAGGCTTCTCATTCCCTGATCTCAAAATCTACTACAAAGTCATAGTGGTCAAAACAACCTGGTACTGGTAAAAAAAAACTATGATCAATGCAACAGAATTGAGAAAACAGAAGTAAATCCATTCTCATATAATTACCTGATGTTTGACAAATGGCCAAATCACATTAATGAAGAAAAGAGTGTCTCTTCATAAGTGGTGCTGGCAAACCTGGAAATGCATTTACAGAAAAATGGAACCATACCCATATCTCACACCATATATAAAAACAAACTCAACATGGATTAAAGACCTAAATGTAAAACCTACAACTATAAAGATCATCAGTGAACAATTAGGGACAAATTTAGGGAACAACAATTGTGAGGTTGGTCCAGGACTGGGCAGTGCTTAGTTCTGTTGTACATAGGGTCGCTATGAGTCAGTAGCAACTCAATGGCAACTTAAAACAATAACAACGATCCATGGCATACATGCACCATTAAACATTACAAAAACACACAAACAGCAGAAGACAAAATAGATAACTATTTAGGGACATCCTCAAATTAAAAACTGTACATCAAAAGATTTCACTAAGAGAACAAACAAGATGGCATATCGGGTGGAAGTGCAGTGAAGGAGCTCCATCAGCAATAACACAGAATACCAGACCAAGCAGGCTCAGGGGATGGTCCCAGAACATATAAAGGAATATTTAGAAGTTTGAAAGGCTTACAGCTAGGGGAATTTGTAGCAGATGCAAGAAATTCATTACTTTCTAATTCAAGATGCTCAGCTGCTCCCAGAGCCACCATCTTGTGTGAAAACAAGCAGGGAAAGGATCAGAGCAGCCACGGATGCCTGAAAGAACAGTGGAGATAAAGGTGTGGACACTCTTTTTGTGTGTGTGTGTTTGTTCACTGGCCACTGGCTGTCAGCACACCTCCATTCTGGTGACTAGGGGAGTTCCTGAGTGAGTGGACACCCCACCCACACACCCAGAGTGTTCTACTATGCATGTGCACAGATCTCAAAATTTAAAGTGACAGTTTCCACTTAAAA